ATCTAAAAATCACCGTGCAGCGCACGAGTATTACACTAGCAAAAAATGATTGTAAACACAATTCCTCCTCCAAACGCTCCAAGAATAGGAACTGACACATCATCTGGGCTTCCCATGGACCAAATAGACACATAGAGCACAAGGTAAAGCCTAATACTGAACATCAGAAAGCCCATAAGTCCCACACAATCTTTTTTCTTTCTTCTCTTTTTCTTCTTTTCCTTTTCACTTCTTTCTGTAAAAAATTCCTGTTTAACTGTTAAGAAGTCAAGTTTATCCTCATATTTTATAATTCAACGAATCAAACTCTATTCGTTCTTGGAATGAATTGTTATAATATGTCATAGACGTCATCTTCAAATGCTTGCGCCTAGCTGAGTGGGTGAGTGAGAATTCATACAGGACATTTACTTTCTAATTTGAACTAACTCTCCCATTTGAACAATATATATATATATATATTCCATGTACCTTTTTTCTTATGCCTTAAAAGATCGTAGTATAGTTATTACAAAACCTATATAATATACTCGTCCCAAGCTACTGTATATGCGCTTACTATTTAGATAACTAATAAGATATTTTAAATGGACACTTGTGGTAAGATATAAGCACTCATTTATTAGGGTGATAAGGTCAAATGGTAAAGCCAGCACTATACTCATGATTCGGAGTTTAGCGTTCATCGAGATATCGGCATGTTTAATAAAAATTATTGCTTAATTCTGAATGCATAATACTGAATTAGAAATGCTGAATTCATTAAATAGTTAAGATAATAAGCTAATTTTTACTGCTTATATTTTATACCACATTTTCAGCACCACTTAATTCATTAAGAGATTCATTTTTTATTATCAAACATGCTGAAATGAAAAAAAATACTTAATCTAATAATTTTAAGCATTAAATGACTTTATCAAATAGATAAAAACTTTTGGTCCTCAATTATAATTTCATCCGAATATTATCTTTAGTCAATTTTTCCAAACTTATCAATGGTTTAGCTAATTTGTTGAAACAATCTTAATGTCACAAGCAAATATCTTGGCTATCACAATAACATTATTTTAATGATCTTGAGAGAGGATTCGTCTTTAATTATTTTCGCATGTAATAATATCTTTTGTGTTGTCTGAGCTACTATTCTTCATTAGAAGTTTTTAGCTACTACGGTAGTGGCGATACTCTTACATCATTAGGAAAAACTAGAAGTACTTATTTACTATTGGTGCCTTGCATGTTGAAGTACAAAATAGCTAATTCTTCCAAGTTTACTTCAATGACCCTTTTTTTTTTTAACTACCTTTCTATGTTGTCTGTGGTTTTACTTCTGATAGAATTTTTTTAGATAAATTAGATCAAATTTTACAGGAATCAAATCGTTGGACTTAATACATATCTCGAGACAAAGATCATTATTAAATAACGATTGGAGACATTGCATTCGGATCCTAGATTTTGAATAACACTGCATGTAGTTATTAGGAGGGCTAGACATTGTGCATCTGCTTCTTCATTGTCAAGTTAATTTTATGAATTTCTATAACCATCACAATAGCATTTGGTACCATGTCTTTTCTTATATCTCCAAAGTGTTTTTTTTTCCTACTCTTTATAGATAGATATCAACTCTTTCTACCCACATTTTGTGGCAACCACTATCAATGTTCCTAACACAAGCATCTGATCGTCCTCTATATCAGAGACCGAGGTTCTTATGTGGGGAGGGTTTGATTCTATACGCACCCATGAGTTAAAGGTACCACATGAGCTAATTAGGTTGAATAAGCTAAAAATAAAAACGGATTATTCAACTGTTTTGTGTTGAAACGAAAAAATGTGAGGTTTTAAGATTTCTGAGATTTATTTATTTTTTTCTAAAAGAATCTTTCCCAGATTGCATCATTCAAAAACTATTTATGATAGCACCATTCAGTGTCTATCAATTTCATTCTTTTGGTCTCTTTAGTTTTGTACTTTCGTATTTCAATGGTCCGTAAGGAGGTGTGTATATCAGTTTTCCTATTCTTTTGATATCTTTAGTTTTGTATTTTTGTATTTCAACAATCCTTAATTAAGAACCATTTATAATTAGTTTAGTTTAGGTTGGAGGTATATCACTATTTTCTATTCTGAATTATCATTGTTTCTTGTTAGTTGGCCATAATGTCAAAGCAGCCGCAATTTAAACACGTAATGTGCCAAAGATCATATTAGTAAAGATTTGATGGGACGACTAAAAGATGATGGGATGAATAATCTTGGACGGGACTTGTTAAACATGATTAGAGTTAGGCCGGAGGAATATTTTTGAGCTTAACAAATTACTGTCACTTTAATATTAATGTTTAAAGTAAATATCTACTCCCGCATCCCATAATTATTGTCCAGTTTAGATTTTCATTTTTAGTTCAAATTGTACTAATTAAAAGTAAAATCTTAAAGTGGACAATAATTTTGGGACAGAGAGAGTATAATTTAGTAACAACGCATGCAACGTTGATATGACTACTCCACAATCTTTCCATTAGATTTCCTATATAGCTAACAAGAGATGGTTGCTTTTATAGTTAAAAGCATTTGGTGAGAAACGTTAGATATTTGTATCTTAGCGAGCTGCTTCACTGTATCAGTATCCAAGTAGTAAAAGATATTCTCTCCGTTCCACAAAAATAGTACTATATGTAAATAACAATTTAAGAGTTACTTATACAAACGGTTGCATCAATCTCCTATGAAACATATGTAAATAACAATTTAATTACTACTCTCTTTTTTTTAAAAAAAGAAGGAAATTCGGAAAATCTTCTCAGAATGTTTGACTAGTCATTTTGTATATGCTAATTTTGTTGGTTCCACAAACTTCATAAAAATGGTGACTAAATTAAATAAACTACAGTTTCTATTTACACAATGTTTTGTGTATAAGTTTCAATTGAAGTACAACCTCAATCTAAGTCCGTGTTAGGTATACAGCAGTTTTTGTAAGTAGAGAAAATGAAATACTTCTATACGGTCAATGGTTTCAAAACGTAGAACATAACAAGAAAAAATGGAAGTTCCTTCTGAAATTTACAATGCCAGAACCTGTTTATCACCTCAATTGGAGACTTTTTCTATTTTTATATTATTAGACATATCACTCTTCAAGGAAATAGTCCCTTTTTTGTCTATTCCCCATCCTCAATCTAATTTCTAATAGTAGCTTTGACTGTGTAACGTAGGGCATCCAATTTTCAAAGCCCCATTAATTAAAAAAATAATAGAATTCAAAAGAAGGATTAAAGAAAGCAACTTGAATAAGAAATTCCTTAATAAAAAATTCCACATGATCATGGTTGAGCTTTTGCCACGAGTACCTTTGATCTAAGTCACAATTAATCATGGAAAACTAGTGCTGATTGCCGCCCAATTTTTTTAATGTACTATGTATATTTAATTAAAATAATTAATCTACTCAAATTTTTTAATAGAAGTAATTAACCCGCTCGTAACTTGAACCCTGTGTGTGCTGTCAACAAAAAGAGTTATTCGGTCTCAGAGCACTTTTGTTTAATACTTATGTTTTGATTCAGACTTACAGTAGATATGATTAAATACTAAACCCTTTCCATGCTTAAGATAATGCTAACATATCAATACTTAAATTAATTGATAAATAAATGAAATATTTCCTCTTTGGGTTGTGTCGGAAGAGACAACAAAAAGGACAAAAGCAAATGTTCTCTCTCTCTCGCTCTCACACACACAGCCCTAATCTTTAATAAATCTGCTCGGATTATACCCACATTTGGTAACATTCCTTAGCCCCAAAAACTAATCTAGTAATCTGCAAAGGTCCGCCTTCTAATTTTAGTAACCCTAGGCCAGGATTCATGTGGTTTGTGTTAATGATGCTCTAATAAAGGAAAACATCTAATTACTAGTACTAATTTTGATAGGCTACCGACTATATGATATAAATAATAATTCAAATTACTTCTTACGTCCTACAATGATAATTCTGTTTATTATATTAAGATAATTTAACAAACGAGATAATCATTTTTGTATATAAAGGAAAAAAGCTCCTAAACTTTTTATTGGAGATTTCAGAAAATAAGAGAGAATTAAATTATCCAAGGATCCGGAATGTCATGTGAATAACCAAAGTACAGAGGAGCAGGAATCCGGTCATAATCATACTCGCAACAAAGAAGTTTTTGAAAGTGTTTTTCCCTCAAATGTTATTATGCAATATTTTATGCTCTACTTGAAATGCTTGACAATAATGCAACAGAGATATTTTTGTAAACATTGCATTGCTGACTTCTCTCTCTCGGAAAAAAAGTTAATCAAATCGCATTCCAAACGAGGCAAACGCTACTAGTCTATTAATTGGCATTTAGAGGTCAGGAAGTTGATTTTCCGTAATCTAGGTCTCTGATTTGAACATTATAACGAAGAACACATATGTTCGATTAATGTTATTTGGTATTGCAAGGACTGAACATTTGTATCTCACTGCTTTAGATGAGATGACCTCACATAGCAAGTTTAAAAGAAAAACAGAGGCCTACACAATTTTTTTGAGCATAAAATATTTCACTTTTTAATGAATTACTCAGCTACTTTCGCGGGTTAAAAATGCATCAATATTATTGTTTTATAACCGCATAATATAATTTCTAAACAATGGCTGAAAAAGTTATTACCAACCTTTGGACAAGCTGATAAAAACACAACCCAAGAAAATCATCGCAAAATTTGATTATTGGCATTTATGCTTTCATTTCCACTCCCATCTACTAAGAATATCTCTATAATCAACTGTTGGCTATAATACTTTATTTTAACTTACATTACAAGTAGTACATAGATTATTACATTAATTGATACATCTTTGACGAATCGCAATTAGCGCCAAGGATAGCAATCCAATATTCCAATGCATAGTGTCAAGCAGAACTCCCTTAAAACAATACACCGCAAACACTAACAAATAAAGTGGTGAGAAGCCCTGACACCTCCATTACCACCATTTCTTACTTTATCTGCATCATAATCTAAAGTTGCAATTATAATCCAACATTTGCAGAAGAAGGAGAACTAGGAGGGAAAAAAAAAATGAAAAAAATTCAGTATGGATGGATGGATGGAAATTAGCCAACAGCAGTGCCCTTTTGTACCAAACAGAATCTATCATCACCCCAAAGCACAAACACTTAATAGTATTAATTGAAAGGTGCAACAATTTTATACAGACTACATAGAGATCCCTGGATTGCTAAATAAAGGAAGGAAAGAGAAGAGAATCTGACACAAAACGTAAACACCACCTGGACCAGAGGCACGATGCATATCTCAAAAAAAAAAATTTCACTTTAATTTCACTACTCATCCCACAAAAGATAAAGAACTCATCCTTCCTTTCTTTGATTCTTTCTTCAATTTCAGTCACATGGCTGATAAATCTTGTGCAAGAAATGCAGCCAAAATCTACTTTACTAAATCAAGCAATAATCCACTTTGAGGCTGTTTTGAAGCTAATTAATAAAACTGCTATCCCATCACCAAAATGCTACGATGATGGAGTACATTACAATTACATAGAACGAAAGAGATAGGGGGGAAAGAAAAATTGCAAAAAACTAATAATGATGATGAGTGGACTGGACCAGTGTGTGACTGTGCGCAGGTGGTGACTGAGTATGAGGATGACTTTGTCGGTTGTTTTGTGGTACTGTCATCTGTGATCCCTAATACCACCAAAGTTGATTTTCTTCTCTCTCTCAACCTTTGGATTGCAGTACTGACCCAGCATTCCATTCATCCGCTTCCTTTCCTTTGGATGGATGATGGGATTTTATGGGTCTGGGTTGCTGTTGGGAGACACAAACAACCCTTCCCTTGCTTTTCTTCCGCAACAACATTTCAATCCCTTCTTCTTCTAACTTTGGTTCAAGGTTTTAAACCTCTCTTTCTCGCCCCCAATTGCTTTCTCTAAACCCTGTTTAATTTCTCTCCACTGTTCATCTATCAGAATTAAGTATAGCTAAGAGGGTCCCAAATTAATCAAGGAAATTTTTTAAGTCCCAAGATTCCTTCAATTTTTTCTGTCTTGTGGGTTGTCTTGTAGTTAATGATTTTTTTGTAAACATTAGACCTTCTAGACCATTTCTTTCTCTCTTTCTACCCAAAAATTAATATATTCCCACTAAATCTCTGCTTACGTACTGAGAACGAGGTTGAAAAATTAGTGAGAGATGGGTCCCCAAGCTTAGCACCCAAATTACACGTCCAAATCAAAACCAGACCCCTCCAAAAGTCTGAGATTACTGGTTGATTATCTCTTTAATTACTTTTCTGTACTTCATTCCTTCTTGGAGATTAGATTAGATAGATAATTAGGCTTTTGAAGAGAGCTTGCTAATAATAGGATTCCAGACAAGAAGACAACACAGTTTTGAGGAAGGAGGACTACAGCAATGAAGCCAATAATCTAGCAGGAGGAATCAAAGGAGATTCAACTTGCAGAGGTTGGGGAGCTAAGCTAGCTAAGAAGATCCGCTTCTTCAAATTTTTTTGTTTATGGATCAAAGAGGGCAAGAGAAAGATGTTGTTTTGCCATCATACTCCATGGCTTACATCAATCCAACTTCTTACAACAATGAATCTGCTTCAGCTCCAGTAGCTTCCAAACTTGCAGACAGAAGATTAACAAATGAGTCCCGCCGGTCTTCCCCCGCAATTCCTAGCTCCGGTCAAACCCTAGATCAGAATCCGCCGCCGCCGCCGCCGCCGCAAATTCATATCAATAATAATAATAACGACTCGAACCCAGATCCAGATCCAGCTCAAGAACTTCCCAATGCAACCGTCCCAAGGGAGACGACGGCGCAACCACAAGTAGTCCAGCCACCAGCTCCGGCGATTCGGTACCGAGAATGTCAGAAGAATCATGCAGCAAGCATGGGGGGACACGTCACCGACGGATGCGGTGAGTTCATGCCAGGTGGGGAAGAAGGAACCCCAGAAGCCTTCAAGTGTGCGGCCTGCGATTGCCACCGGAATTTCCACCGGAAAGAAACCGACGCCGATACCCAACCCGGAACGAGTAGCTACCACGCGCTCAACCACGGGCACCACAACAACAATTCAATATTCCGCGGCCACGCTCCGACGTCGTCTCTTATTACCATGACTCATCATCATCAGAACCACCGGCAGCATAAGTTATCAAGAGGGCCTCCGGCTCCCATAATGATGACGTTTGGAGGTAACGGCGGCGGAGGTGCGGCGGAGTCGTCGAGTGAAGATCTCGACGTGTTTCAGTACAGCGGCGGAGGAGGAGGGCAAGGGATGATGATGCATCCGTCGTCGTATTCGGCGTCTAAGAAGAGGTTTCGGACGAAATTCACCCAGCAACAAAAAGACAGAATGAATGAATTTGCGGAGAAGTTGGGTTGGAGGATTCAAAAGCAAGACGATCGGGAAGTCCAGCAATTTTGCAACGAAGTTGGAGTCAAGCGCCAGGTATTCAAAGTTTGGATGCACAACAACAAACAAGCTATGAAGAAGAAAAGCACGTAAGAAGGGCTAACCCCATTTCATTAGTTTATTTTCTTTTAGATTCTCAGATTAATTGTTTTTAGCGCCAATTAAGTAGAGTTACTTATGAGATTTGTGACAAGAACCCAATTGTTTGGTTGATAATACACAATTCGTCATCGGCTTGTAGTCATCAATTTTATTGGATGTGAGAAATTAAGCATGTCGATTTGGTTTCACAAAATTGCATCAAGATGATAACAATGGCTTCATTTGTCTCCAATTAATTCGCCATATGCCTAGTTAGACCCTATGCTTTAGACCCTATGCTTTGTTCTTCTCCTAGCATTTAAGAACAGAAGTTCCCATGGAAAAAATTAGTACTGGTTACAGACACCATTCAATGTCACAGGTTAGTCTCTCTTTCTTTTCTTTTTTTTTTTTTTTTTGGATTGAACTATTATTCCATGTGTTTTAACTGTTCATCAGTTATCGGTACTTTTGGGATCATTCAACCCTTCAGTATGCCTGAGGAGATTAGTGTAACATGTCCACATAATGTCATTAGATGGCACATGATGTTGTCTAATAAATTCATGCTGCTTTCATCTATTTTGAAATGGTCTGTCCATCTCCAAGTTCACGCATGTGATAATCTCAACCCTTTGTTGAGGTTTTACATTCACGCTTTCGCCTCTACAGTAATCATTATCCATGTAGATTTCGGGTAAAAGAGTATGTACAAGTGTTATGAGTTAAGACTGTCCATTAATTCATGGAAACCATGTTGGGAGTAAAATAAAATTCCATAGACTGGTACCGAGTGATCTATACTACTGCATAAAATGGCTCTTAAGATCTTGCTCTAAAGTGATCCAAAGACTAATTTCTGGGGCAAAGAGGAATACTAATGCACAGTATTCTGGGAAGAAATGGTCGTTAGTCGGTGCACAATGATAGGCAGATAGGGATCTTGTTCCAGATGCAGACTCCGAGATAAAGGGTTCGTAGTTAATACAGTCCATCTATGTCACCATATTCATCTACAAGCACTTCGCCAAGCGAGTACACTTGAAGTGCCGGCAGATTAGTTTCCAGGAAAGAAAAAGAAAAAGTGTTGTGAGCAAATGGGGTATTCAGTTACCTCTATGAACTGAAAACAGTTGCACTTGACATTTGCAGTGCCTGCAAAAGAGAGACGATACCGTTTTCTGCTTCTAGTGATCAAAAAGCAGTATACTAAATGGCCATACAATTATCTTTTTCCGCGGTTATTAAATTTGAGTCAGTTCCCCTTGGATCAGCTAACTCTATAAGTTTCAGCGTATATTTAGGTGGTGGCAGTCAGTCCTAAGTTTTCACTGATCCCTGCAAAACATTACGCCCATTCAACTTAGGTGGTGGCAGTCAGTTCAACTTAGGTGGTGGCAGTGGCCCTATGTATGGTGTTAATGGGGACTGTGGCTTCAAGAAGTAATTTATTCATTAAGTTCGATTTTTCACGTTTCAGGCACTGCACTTGGCAATCTCCTCAGGTTTTTTGCCCAAAAGACCAGAGCATGTTCACAAATTTAGAGAGAATAAAAGAAGACCAAATTTCAGCAAATATGTTAGTTCAGTAACTAGTTTGATCAGTGTGTTCTCCACCCCCTTCACATTTTTGCTACACATGTTTAATTAGAATGTATGGTAAGTAGTGACAAATATCAAATCAGCGCGCATTCATGATGGATGACTGATGTTCATGACTAGCACTTACAACGGCTGACTGATCCTCAATCTTCCAATTGTAAAAGCACTAGAGCATACATATATGATGGCATGACATCCAATTATGTAAAGTTTCTCTTATTAATTGACCTGGGTACAGTAAGCTAATAGTCTCAGAAGTAATCGAAAATATTTCTATGACTAATGCATCTTGAGGTAGACCACGAACAAGAAAGGAGCATAAGAGCCTCCGAAACTTCATTATAACTATTTAGTAGTTACAAAAGGAGATAAAATAAATGAGTGAAGAAATCTACAAAGTAGTAGAGGAAAGTGTTACTCACGAAGCCTGACTAGAAACATTTCAACAAATGGCTCATAGTTCCCCAGGTTTATGCCTCAGTAGATCTCCTACATCACCAGCAGCTTGTGAAGCCTTCTCTTTGGCAGCTTCATAACTACCCTTTGCCTTCTCTGTCATTGTATCCTTTGCAGATTGATAAGTTTCTTCAACCTTTGATTTAGCATCCTCGTATTGATCAAAAATCTCATCTTTAGTTCTCCCCATTGCCTCTTGGCCATCACTCGACCTATCTGTTGCCATTTTGATGGTTTGATCTGCCTTCTCTGAAGCATATGCGCGCACATTTGAAGCTTTTTCTTCGAGGTTCTCTTTATCAATGGCCTGACCTGCCTTACCAAAGATATATGAATAAGCAGCATTCGCCTTTTCTTTTCCAATATCCTTTGCATTGCCTGCCATATCTGAAACTGCATCCGTTGCTCCTGATGCTTTATCAGAGGCGTAGGCATAGCCTTCACGAGCTTTATTAGTCGCCGCGTTCCTGGCTTCAGTCCCCATTTCTGAAGCTTTATTCATGACATTATCCATAGTCTCCGAGGCAGAGCCATAAGCGCCGTGGAATCTTTCGCTGGCATCGTTAGCCATATCGGAAGCCATGTTCATGGCTTGGCCCCCTCTCTCTGATGCCATGTTATAGGCAGCATAAGCATTGTCTTTTCCCATCTCTTTGGCATTACCAGCCATATCACATGCTTTTTGAGAGTAGCTTGAGGTCTCTGCCAAAATGAATGCCAAAATGAAAGCCACAGAAAGCATAGAGAATTATATTCCAGTGTACCCTAATTAATGACATAGTACATACAAATCAAAAGAGATGGAAATAATTACTTCCAGCAGCATCGGACACTTCCTCAGTCATTCTACGAAATGTATTGCCTTTGTCGTCATTCAAACCCAGGCCCCTATAAAATCAGTTTTTCACATATCAGTATTATCAGCTGTTAACTGGTATCGAAAAATGCATGAACACATTCTACGAAATGTTTGACTTACGGAACACAAACAAAATTTGTTTCATCTATCATATCATAAAGTTTAAGATTCTGTCAAATTTGATTCTGAGACTAAACCAAATCCAAAATACTAATAATATAATCAAAGAAAGGATAGATCTTAAATAATGCAGATCATTTTTAAGAGCACAAAGTTGAGGCAGAACAACAGCAGTAAACAGTAGTTACTCGGATAATCTGGCTTTGGCCCAATCAGCCCAAGATCCAGCTTTGTCCTTGGCATCTTCCATGGCTTCCGAAGCTTTTTGCTTGGCCTGATCCGGGTCGATGTTCATGTGTTCGGCCGCCGAATTCATCTTCTCCTTGGCAGCATCCATCGCCTCTTCCCCCCAACACCAACCCACAGGTACTACCGCCGCCATACATACTACAAACATTATTAATGCTGTTCTTTTCGCCATTATATCGATTCTTTTCACAGTGTTCTCGTCTAATTTGTTCTTCTTGTAGAAATGAATCGGAACAAAGTAAAAGAAAAAGGCTTCAATTTCAGGTATTTTTTTGAAAGTAATGATACAGATAAGGGAGAATTGAGAAGTAAGATATAGACAGCAAACGGTTATGGTGGGAAGTAGGATGCATTACGTGGCGGGTGGGTAGAAGTGCATGGAATCGAAGAGTCAGCGTCTTTCTGCCACGTGTTATCGTGGCGAGGGAAAGGACCGAGCTTCCCGTTTTTTGTGGATTGGCTTTCTTACCGTTTCCCGCAATTTGCTCCTCGGCCATCAACTCACTCAACTGTCTTGAGTCTGTCTTATAGTGCAGTGTCGTTGAAGAAGAAGAAGAAGATAGATAGATACTATGATGCGGAGAAAATGTAATGCAAAAACGCAATATCATCAATGATACAAAAAGTAAAAATATACTCTCTCCGTCCCGTAATTATTGTCCGGTTTAGAATTTCATTTTTAGTACAAATTGAACTAAAAGTGAAATCCCAAACTGGACAATAATTTTGGGACAGAAGGAGTATATATATATTTGATTTTCTTTGCATTATTATTATTATTATTATCCGCGACTGATACAGTCAAAATTGTGATCTAGGCATAAATGTTAATTTTGAGTTTTGTAATTTTATTGACTTCATGGATGTGAAAGAGTCAGTTTGAACAAATTTACTTCATCCCGGGATCAAATATACATACCCTTTTTGCTCATTTTATCCCTTTTGATGTAGCATAAGAACAGAAATTTACATCAATATAAGAAGTAATTATGTAATCAACGGATGAAAAAAAGAAAAAAATGAAGATGAAATTGTTACGACAAGGGGAATTGACAACGTACAACGTTTGATATCCTTAGCCATGCTTATGTACGATGGCTAAATATTGGTTGGCCCAAAATTGATTTGATTTAGTCATACAGATTGGACACCAATATGCTGGCCTACCAACAAATTTCATCTATTGAAAAAAATAATTATATTGTCATGTACTCAGGTTAGCAAGATTGAGCATTGATTCCAAAAATTTATGGAGTATTATTCACCATGGACACAATATGTTGTGTTAGCTCTTCTCACCCTGGGATATAATCTAAAATGAATAAATCCCCAAAATTTCCAGGACTTTAATTTTTCAAGCTTTTCTTTTTCAATCTTTTCGGATCACCGCCTTCTGCTGCAAGTTTAACTCTTTGGTGGTGTTCTCTAACCTTGTAATCTACTACTTCTCGGAATAGCTGGGAGTCCAACACGCAGTCTGGCTGTCCGTACACAGCTGCTTGAACACTGGCCATTAGTTTCGCAATCTCACGGCCTGAGAAACCTTCGATTTTCTTTGCAGCCTCTCTGAATACATCGTCTGTTAAATCCTCTTTAACAGTTATCTTTTGTGGTTGTTTCTTGAAGAAATGGGACCACTTTGACTTGCCTTCGGTTTCATCTCCTCCACAAAGGTACTTGTTCAAATAAAGTTTAAGCAGTTTAAAACGCTCCTCCTCTTGGGGGAGGGGGAATTCGATCACTTCATCAATGCGATCAGCAATGGCACTGTCGAGATCTCTCGGTCTGTTGGTGGCAAGAACAAGAACCACATCCCTTGACTGGTCTCCTGTTCGGAAGAGCATTGCGTTCAAAGCACTTCGCTGAGCTTCACTCATGTAGATGCTATTGCGCCTGTATTACAAAGTTCCATATTTAGACATTCGAAAGAAAAATGTGTTTGCTACCTAATTTAGTGGTTTCTACAAAGCTAAGATGTGTTCTTTATGAATCACTTGATGAGAAGTAAGTGAGTAATAAATCAAGCCATTTGACTTTGACATGCATAGACTCTGACTTTATATACACACAAATTTGACTGAGTGCTACAATAAGATGTTAAGATGCATCGGGAAGCAGGATATCCATGCAATGCCACCTAAAATCAACGGGATCAAAATAGTGATAAAAGAATTAGAAATCATGCATACAAACTCATAGAATGGCAGCTGTGTACATGATATGGAACTCAGTGACCCTGCCCTTCCACTATTTCTGTCAAGTGGTTAGAGCTCACAAGAACAAAGAACTTAAACCAGCACAATTACTTTCTTCATCAGTGTTTAATAAATTAGATTAAAGATAGATATTGATTGACTTACTCGCACAAGAATGCATCAGCCTCGTCAATGAAAAGCAGTAAACCTTTCTTTGACCTTTTCGACCAGTCAAAGATCTCATGAATTTTGGTAACTGCCTGAGGACCAAGGGGTGCAACGTCTCCTCCTGTCATCATGGCATAATCCAAACCCTGCAGAAAGCAGTAAACTTAATGAGAATGCTCAACCGTTATTAATATTCATCTTTTTTGAAATTTGCACTATAGCTATTAAACAATTTCAGGCCAGAAGGTTCGTTCCTATTCCCCAATGTGCTCACGCATATAAATTTCAAAGGACTGTTCCACTGCGTTCCTAGGGAGACAGAAAAAGACAAGGACAATACCCCAGCTGCTATCCGTCCAATTGTTCAGATCAGTGTTTTCCAGGGAATGATGAACTTATTCACAACATATACAATGTAAACACAGAAATAACCAGGCAAAGATGGTAGGGATGTATACCGATTTTCTTGCTATCTCCCTGGCAACCATAGTTTTACCAGTGCCAGGTGGTCCATAAAAGAGCATGTTACGGAAGGGGGCCTCATGAGCTTTTGTATTTGCTGTAGCCCGGGCGAGGTGATGGATCCTCTTTTGCAATGAGGGGTGCAGAACAATACCTTCCAAAGGCGATTTACTTTGTCCTTCAGCAGCTGTACCTTGACTGAACATTTTCTTTGCACTGCGAGAAACAATCCCTGACCATGGGAATTTTGCAATAGAGGATTCCCGAATTAATGATGGCTGCCCAAGCATCCTATTGACGTATCCCCACATTACTCTGGAGCCTTCCCTACAAGCACAACACGGAAGTTATAGGGGAGTTAAAAAATAAGCTCTGAGATCAAACACGAGGTATTTAGCTACCATCAGAGCACAAAAGTCACGGGATAGTATGCAGACTCAACATGCAATCAGCAAATGATCAAACATATACTTCATGGAAATTTCTCAAATGTTAAACAGTATGCTTACCTAGTGGTATAAACTCCAGCAGCTAATGCAGTAGCTCCTCCAATGGTCATTACTAATTTACCCCTATCATTCAACAGAATACGGAAACCCCCTGTAAATTGCAACCATGATAAAATTTCATCAAATTTAACATGTTAAATAAAATCATGAAATCAGCAAAGAGGAGGACGACCATAAATCACACTTTGGTCAAATCTAGTGGATCATGCACTGAGCATAATACAATACAATTCAAAGACAATAATGGATCATTTAATACAGAAATTTACACCAAGTAAAAATAAACTACTTTGATGTAACAATTCATCAAAGAATAATACGCCTTGCCCCATAACACAAAGTGCAAAGTACAGCTGCTAGTTTACTATTATAATTTCAGGAAACAAAAAGTGAAGGAGGAAGGGCTTCTACTATATAGTGCCTTTGAAATACCCACAACTTCAATACAATCATAAGAAACAGGTGTTGAATGAATCATTCTGTACCTTCAATATGACTGAAGGCCGTGTTGATAGCAGCAAGCCACTTCTCTCTTTCCCCATTAATCCTGTCTATAAGCATTCTCTTCTTTTGCTCTTCGGTGAGTTTTGCTTCATGAGCCCTGGCTTCTGCCTCAGCCATGGCCTTCACTCTTATTGTTTCTCTTTCAATCTCAGCTCTTTCTTTCTCAGTCTGTCTGTGCTGAGCTTGGATCTGTTCTTCTGTTGCTCGTCTTGCCTGTTCTTTCCGCAGGGATGATTGCTCTTGCATTTTGACCAATTCCTCATTGTGACGTCTCTGAGCTTCATGCTCTGTCTGAAATTGGTCGGGAAGATATCTTTAAACAGCACAAAGTAATCTTTTACAAACTGAAAACCAACTAATGAAGTTAAGTCATTCTTCAATTCTTCAACATTTGACAACTAATTATCATGCTGAGATTCAAGACATAACGGCCCATAAACACTTTCAGAGACTCATTAAAGATCCATAAGATTTATGAAACTCATCCAAAATGCAGGAGGATAAATTATTATGGCACCTGCAATCGCTTTCGAGCCAGTTCATCTTCAAATCTTAAAGCTTGTGCCTTTACTTGAGCTTGCTGTTGGTATAGTTCCCTCTGTTCTTCTGCCCATTTTCGATGTTTTTCCTGCATAAATGAATCATAATCCCTTAAATTAACACAACTTAGAAACCAAAGGGCATGTGTCGGAAGGACAACCATGTCATTTTCATTTTACTAAACGAAAAACGACCCTTTTATTTTACTTACTAATCAGCAGAACAACAGGATTTCAATGTTCACAGTTGATTTAGCTTATCTAGAACATACGGTATATTTTTTTGAAAAGGCTCTTTAATTGGAAGATCCAATCCATACGAAATTTGGTTTATAGCAAAGCTGTCTTTTGACAAAATTAGCAACTTACGATATCAGCATGGGCTTGAATGGCCTCGTAATGAGCTCTCTCAGCCGCCAATTCTAATTGCCTCGTTTCTTCTTGCTTCCTCATCACTTTAAACAGCTTTATCACCAAATCAAAACAAAACCCCAACAAAACCCATAAGTTCAATAATCACCAAATCCAAAAACATAACCTAATCGATGGCCATAAGAGAGATATAAAAGAGAAAAAACATACTTCTTTCGCAAGCTTGTGGCTATTAATCTTCTTGAGTATCTCAGCGCTCTTCTCAAGCGCCTTATGGTCAAACGCGCTTCCAAAATCGTCCCCGCCGGCGCCGGCATCTGGGGCTGAATAAGACTCCGCCGGGGACGGAGAAGAACTAGATTTGGAGGAAGGGAAGAACCAACTCGACATTTTGTTTTGGTTTTTGTGTGTGTTACGAAGGAATTTCCTCGGAGATTACCGCATCAAATGCAGACATTGGACACCCAGAGAGGAAGAAGGGTTTTAAGCTCCGAGTCCGACAGCAGAAACCGGGTGACTTGTGCTTGGGGTTTAAGGGTTTAAAATAAAATAGAAACAAATAAAATTCAAAGGCTTTGTTCTACTACCTTCTACGTGGACTTGTTATTTGTAAGAGCCAGGCTCGTTTCAATAGTTTGGGCCTTCTTTGCATCCAGATCCATGTATTTTGGCCCCATGAAACTCAATTTCGTGATATTCCTTTTTTTACTCCAAATAAAATTAAAAATTAGATTTTCACGTAATAAATTTTAAAATCTTGTGAAATTTAAGATGCCACATGTGCCAGTTCTTAAATTGCGAAATTGTGATCGTTATGTGCAGATTAATAACATTCATTTTTTTCCCCGAAATGAATAAATTCATTAAGAAATCCAACACTAGCCAACTCAATATTCATTTCTCCAATTTAAATAAGGTTTGAGAATGCCACTAAGTTATACTCCCTTTGTCTCAAAATTATTGTCCAGTTTAAGATTTTACTTTTAGTACAATTTAAATTAGAAATGAAAATCCAAAGTGGACAATAATTATGGAACAGATGGAGTAGTAAATATTTTTTTGGGGAGATGTTAGAGACACTTGATGACGACTTTGGGAAAGCGGGGCGTCCCATATGGAATATCACTAATCACTAACAATAAAATGCAATAGCCTATCCTCCTTATCCTTGTTTGTATGTACAAAAACATAAATATCACGATGAAGTAGAAAATGCTCGACTTGATAATGAAACGGGATGGGCTTGCAGCTTGCTAGTTAGCTTGTGGTCCTTCTGGTAGAAACTTTCTAAATATGGAAACTAACACATATCAAATTAAGCAGCCAGATGAAGTACAATTGCATTTGCTGTCCTTGACTTACACTTATTTACTTTCGGTTGAATGTTTGAATTTTAATAATGGTTTATGTTGTTTTTAAAAGATATTTTTGAGGCCAATTTTTTAACCTAGGATTGGATGTGCCCTAGTTATTTGTTTTTTTGAGTAGATAAATTTCAACGACTTGCCTTATTACCATGAGAATTAAGAAAAAAAAAATACACAAAATGCAATACTCAAAAAATAGTTCTATACTATACGCGAGTTTGAACTTTTACTTTAAGTACAATTCGACCAAAAATAAAAATTTAAATTGAACAATAATTTTAAGACGGAGGGAGTACATTATTAGAGCTCTTCAGAAACTGAAGCAGTTTTATACATTATTCCTATCGTAATAATAATCCTGTAAAATTATTGCATGCTGATGCCGGTGCGTGATTTCATGTGGGAATCAGATTTGACGGATTAATTTCTATTAGTGATGGAATTAACAATCCTTTTTTTGCATTAATGAATTCATGATGCGTGAATTACATACTTGATTGACATACAAATTTACTGGTAGCCAGGGAGTGATAGGGAGAGGCCAGGCCTATCATCTCGATTTACTGGTTACAAATAGTTTTTTTTTTTTTTTTTGGCCCTTTTGCAAGTTTTTTAATTAGGCAAAAAACACTATGTCCCTTACATAGTAATTCTAATAACAATAATAATAATGCATTTCCCTCACGTACGTAGAAGTAGAATACTGGAGATTATTTAGCAGATCTGCAGGCTTCGCTTCTGCACAAATGTAAAACAACATATAAAACCAATTAGCAAGATAGATCAATCAAGCAGAAATTAATGATTAGAGTCCTTAACTTAGGTTATTATCAAGACTGGAAAAATGTGTTCAGTTAGAATTGATGATTATAAGCTAATTAGCGTAGCTGCCAAAAAAAGTTGGATACGTCATACGTGCATGCATAAGCAAAAGAACAGAGTCGCAACAGGACAAGAGAGGGAGGAGATATATAAAATCCTGATTAAAAGTTTTCATAGATTTGGTGGGATGTATAAAGTTGAAGAAGTAGGGTCTGCTGGGGAAAAAAAGGTGATGTGTTTAAAAATTTAAAATGCATAAAGTAGTTTTGCACCTTATACAATGACAAAGAAAGAAGAATCAAATGTAGTAGTAATAAATTATTGGAGTAGGGTCTGGTCAAGTATCTGGAATTTGATTTGATTTGTTGAAAAGGAGAGGGCTTTTTTGTTTTTCATTTTTTGTGGTGTTTGTGTCCCACATGTGATGCTTTGAACTGGTTAGCAGGACATGTTATCCATTGTAGTAGTAACTAAAGGAGGTCATGAGCTTAAGATTAGATTTCATGTGGGCTTTCTTCAATCTCAGGAACAGGATAAGGGGAAGCTCTATGCATGGTCGGTCGTCAGGTAATATTTGTTTTCTTTCCTTCTTCAAGAGATTTCTTTACAATGGTTTCCAAGAAGCAGTTTTTAACTTTTAATTTAATGATATATGGGATAAGTCATAAGTGATGATAGCTACCAAAAAAAACTGTTGGTTGGGTTGGAATAGATAAAAAGGAAAGGCGTAGACTTTGTAGGATGTCAAATCTTTGTTTTTTACCTGATTCTCTCTCATCTGTTTCCGTGAGGAACTAAATTAATGATGACATAATCATGGTATTCTCTCAGTCTAGTCATGTTTTAAAAAAGAAAGATACTTTTTTTTTTAAGGTTTTGACCTTTGAAAAGAAATTCTGCATGCAAGAGGAAGATTTTGTAAAACATATTACCTGTAGAGAGCAGTAGTTGTAGTTTTAGCTGCCATTTCTGCCTGACCGATAATTCGGAAATGGAACATTTCCAGACTCGATGTTTCTGAGGTCTTCAACCAGGATTTGGTATTGTCTCTTAACTTCCTCCTCAGTCTTCCCAATGGCCCTAGCAACATTTTGCCAACGGTCTGGAGTGTCCCTGTCATATTTAGCAAGCGCCCTCTCGAATTGTTTGTTTTCGCTTTTAGTCCATGAAGAGGAAGCAGATAGGGAATTCGATGCCATTTGCGTAAGCTTCAAAGAGCCTGTTTGAACTAGAAATTAAAAGATGTTAGTAGTTGAAAAGGGTTCAAGGGAAGTAATGTGTTAGGACTCTGGGGTAAATCCTGGTTAAAAAGTTGGAAAGGAAGATGGATCTTCTTCCTGAGTCAAGGAAGAGAAGTAAAAAGAAGTCAAGGGATGTTGTGATGAAATTTGGTTCAGAACCGAGGTGTTTATAAGCTAGATGGAAAGGTAAAAATTGTGGGGGCATTTTGCCAATTGGAAGAATATATCTTGGAAAAGCTAGAATAAAGAGTGACTCGTCCCCTTTAGAAACCACAAACCAGAGAGAGAGTGAGACACACAGAGAAATGAAAAGAATCAGCATCGATCTGAGGACATACTGTACCTTACGTTGTCATTACCATATGTTTGGGATCCTCTTGGTCCAGACATATGATACGGCGAAAAAAGAAAAAAAAACGAATTCCAAACTGATAACATGGTGATTTAGTCTCAGTAGAAAATGGAAGTTTAATGTGATGCTCTGATGCAGTTCTGTTTCAGTTAACTCATCATTATTAGCGCTTCATCGATGTCGGCCTTTTTTTTATTATTCTGCTTTGGTTAAAATTCGTGTTTGTTGTTTGTACAGTTGTCTCTTGATCTTTGTGGTAGAAGTCATGAATCACAGTCCTCAGTTTTTGCTAGCTTTTTCTGCTGCAAAATGTCAAAGTGTCTGTCTTTTATCTTTCTGGCTAGAAAATTGGTCAACTTTGTTGCAGGATTAAGTACTTGATGTGAACCTGCACTATTGAGTTTGATGAGGAATGCCTGATGCATTTCCGAGTTACGGACAGGTTTAGTAGCATAATGGATGGCGATTTCGGCTAAATATATATGTGTTTCGTAACATAGTTTTGCCAAATGTTACTGGACAGTCAAATGTAGTTGGAACAATATTTCCTGAGAAATCCACCAGGAAAGGAACAACTCCTATAATCCATGACATCTTGTGGAGGAGAAGGCGATGAGAATTTTCGATAATATGTGTTACATCACTGATAGATTCCTTCACAGAGGTTGGCACTACTTCAATATGGTAGAATCTGTAAGTCTACGAACTAGAGTTACTTTCAGGTCAACTTCTTGCTTTTTTCTTTCTTTTTAATCTTTCATTTCAGCGTATAATTTGATCATGATGAGTGGTGGACTTACAGCAGGCAAAGAATTGCGTATTTCTGCTTTTGGCCTCTATTTTCTGGAGAGGTACGGATAGTACAATACGAACAATGCTTCCTTTGCTGCTAGCTGGTGGTTTGTATTGATTTACATCATGTCCAGTTTTGATCTTTTTAAGTGACAAAATATCTACAGCTATCCATTCACTATCATTTCCTTCTTGATTGGAACCTTAAAAATCAAGTCCTCTCTACAACTTGATACAAAAAAAAAAAAAGGTACTTGGCATGCATGTGTACTAAATTACATTTCCAGGCACCAAATCTTTTGCTAGTGGAACCAAAATCTAGCTTGTTCTTCGCCACTTGGGTTGTAGGCTTTGTAGCTACTATCTGGATCAGGTAAGAAACTATAGCCAATAATCGATCCCTTGTTATTATTGCAGCAAGCAAGTGGAAGAACAGAATTGCCCCCTCTTTTTTTCACCACTAGGATAAATAAACAATTGGTTATTCCGGAGTCAGTGAAAGGGTAGTATAAATGGTTTCTGTTTTTCCAAACCGGGATAATGCGTATTTTCTGATTACATGAGTGGGGTCTATGGCTATGCACGCCGCTTAGTCGGGCTTCCAATGCTCTACAGGTCTCCTGTTTATTTCATTTCATTCAATTACTACTTACTTGGCCAGTTTGCCTGTAACAATATGTAGGAATCGAATTCTCAACCTCGTAGAGTTTCGGCACAAGGCTCTAATCGCTAGGGCGGATAACCGTTTCTGAAGTACTATATAAGTTGACAATGGATCTTTTTGGTTGCTTACTGAACAAGCTGATTTCCTGTGCCCTTCCAATTGACAAAGTGGAAGCACAATCTTTCTTTGTTCTCCATTTTCGAGCTCTGCTTATGATTGGATCTTACGCAATCCGGAGTATTGCCAAAGAATTTAGCTGCCTTTATGCTGGTTAAATAGTTCAGTTAGTTGATTCCATGCCCCCCAAAACTTTGCACTAAGAGAAGTGCAGGACCAAATTATTTGGCCACCAAAGGCCAACTGAAACTAAAAATAAACTGCAAATTGGAGTTCTCACCTTAGCAACAAATAACACTGCAGTTATAACTTGATAAAAATGCATCAACTTGTATTCCTGTTTTTATCCCTAACAATGATCCTAAATGAGAGACATATATAATTACTCAAATCAGCTTTAAAATGGTAACAGGTAA